AAAACATAAAAATTTGCAAAAATATCCAGAGCAACACAAAAAAAAATGTTGTAGAGCTGTGTAATCAAGAATATGTATTTCGAATATACGGGCCCTTTACTTGGTGAAAATCATTAACACTATTCCTGATGATAATCACAAATTTTCACAACATATTTGTACTTGTTCAACTGAGTATTATTAAGGATAGTAGAAAATATCTATGAAAGTGCTTACAATATTTTTTGCTGTATTCCCGACTGCACTAATTAATACTTTCCCATTCCATTTTTCAACATCTTCGGAAATATAGTAAGAAAAAACTGTTCCATCAGATCCATAAATACCGCTTCCTCCAATACCTCCTGTGAAGTTGTGATTGGTTGCCACAAGAAGATTAACCTTATTGGCCATCGCATATCCATTATGGAACGATAAAGCTGCGAAATGATACACATAGTGTAAGAATATACCCTTCACAGAAAGATAATAACATTATTTCATTCACAGAAAGATATCGATCTATAAACGATAGCACAATTTTCATTTGATGGTCTACGAAATTTTCCATACAGTATGTGGCACCGATATTGGAGATATAACCTTTGTTTAGTATCAGTAAGAACATCCCCCAATAAATTTGGAGCAAATCTCTAGGAATTTCTTCATTCAATGACACATCAAAGTACCTCGCATCAGTCAAACATCAACCATCAAGGTCAACATGACTTTGGGGGGCAATATGAAGTCTTCAAATGGTGAAGAATGAACCCCAACATTTCAATGAAAAATTTAGGGGTTACAATCCTCGCCCTGAGGTTGTTGAATAAAGAAACAAAACTTTCACGCATCAGGTTTTCAGGATCTGAATTTGACATACTTCAAGCTTTTTTGCAATGTGGAACAATGGATTTTTTCCGTTTCGTATTCAAATACATTCATCAGGTAGATACTTAGTAAAATAGTAGGTACTTATTGCCACAAGAAGATTAACCTTATTGGCCATCGCATATCCATTATGGAACGATAAAGCTGCGAAATGATACACATAGTGTAAGAATATACCCTTCAAAGAAAGATAATAACATTATATCATTCACAGAAAGATATCGATCTATAAACGATAGAACAATTTTCATTTGATGGTCTACGAATTTTTTCATACAGTGTGTGGCACCGACAACGGTCCTCAATTAAAGACAAAATGTGAAGAACTGAGGCTAACTGCTAACGAAGTTGTCGGTTTCAAAGATTAGTCAAACCACCAAATCCGACTTTGAAACTTGGTAAGCTAACTTGGGTGTAACACCAATAGGTTGGTCCTCTTGTATCTCACTTGCGTCCATGTAATGATTTTCACAAGTACTCTTCTTGGTTCTTCACATTTTATCTTTAATCGAGGAACGCCTGTCCGGTACTGTTGCCCAACAGGCTGAAACAGCGCTGTCTACCGGTGGCTCTCAAACTGAAATCAAATTGGGAATGACCGGAAGAGTACTAATCTATTAATTTTTTCATTTTCCAGCAACTGACTACTGTTTTCAATTCTCCAGCAGTCAAGCTGCTCTTTCTGTAAAGATAGTAGATCTTAGCATTTCCTTTCTCTGATAATATTATTGATGGTGATCGATATTCGACGGCTAAGAGAGAATTTCAAAAAGAGGTAACAAGTTGCTAACGGCAGTCAATATTATTGGGAGAGCAGTGGTAGTGTTTTTTTATTTTTATATGGATGGGGCGTCCCGTAATTTAAATCAAACAAAATGAACAGACTAAGAAATATGCCTAGCGAAGTAAAGAGTAAAAACAAATCAATAATTGAAAAACGTATCAGAAAGCAAGTTTTCATTTACATGCCCTACAAAAACATGATTGAATGAAATCAAACTCATCAGTTACACAATTGATATATCATAAAACTTGTCATGAGATATATCTAGAAAAACAAGAACACAATATGTGAGGGTTGGTTTATCGGATGCATGAGCATGATGCAAGTAGATGAACAAGACCGGTTCTGGCTCGAAATACCATGTATTTTATTATGGAGCTGAACTTTTTGCAATTCCCATGACATCCGATCGGAACATTGTAGAACACCTAACTCGAGGTGGATTTCGAAGAGTGGGAGAGAGAAACGTGTGACATAAACGATGCAGAGAAGGATGGAATGAATATCAGAAAGATTCAAAGAGCGTAGCCTCTCTTGGGACTTCACCTCACCCCTCAAGCCCCCTTGTCACGTACCAGTCACGTGGTCATCGGCAGCTGAGCGAAGTTCAAATAAAAGTAATTTTCCAAAAATCTTTCTTTTCATCCTAAACCATTTTTTCTCAACTGTGACAAAATTTGACAAAAAATCTTCAATTTCTCCTCAAACTCAACTTTCATGATATTTCCTCAGCTATGACAAAATTATGAAAAATAAACATAGTAGTAATACATTTCTCGTATTCGATGCTTACCTTTTTACTAAATGTAAGTTTTTCGCCTACTTCTGGGAGTTCGAAGGCATAATTGGTGGGATCTTCTACGAAACCTGTTAGTCCATATTCGGGAAACACAATAATTTGAGCTTGATATTCCTGGAAATATAAATCATTCGAAGATATCCTGTTATAAATACTTCAAACACCTGTCAGTAAACGTATCAAACAATGATTCATCTAGTATATTGATGAAGTGGTGTCTACTTCTGTTAGATGAAAGAAAAAATTAAGAAAAAAAAACAATAATATCCATATAACGTGTTCAAAAACACACTCCGATACAAGAATTCTGCTTGAAAGTTTTTCAAACCATGACACGTGTTTCGATATACACTAGCATCTCAAGGCGTCGCAGTATGAGAAGTTCCCGACCTAGGTTAGGTTAGGTTAGGTCCAAAGTTAGTGGGTCTATTTGACCCTCCACCGCAACCCGCGAGGGTTCATTGTGGCTCGCACCTATTCACAATCGACCAAATGAACCCAGTTGTATAGTCTTTCAGATCAGATAGTAAAAGTACGGCTCTGCCGAACTCTGACAACCTGATTCGGTGCTGTGGCCTATGTGCTGTGAGCCTACACTTAGGAATCACACGTTAAAAGGTAAGACCTCGTTAATCCTTAGCTCGCACAAGTTTCGACTTCTGAGGGTTGTCGTTCGTAGGGGTGCGACAGCTGGTTAAAGGAAAAACAGAAACAGATTTCAAACAGATTTAAACTCACCCTCCCTACCCTACAGATACCAGATCAGTCCGGGATGAAAACAGTTGAAAGTGTACTTCAAATTGTTCGTTTTCTGGATGAAAGGAAAAATGTCGTCAACATGTCTTCTGGAGAATAACAGCGGAAATGACAACTTTTCAATTCTGTAGTTCTGTCGAAAAATCTTTCTTTGTTGAGTACTTTTTCATCATTTTTTTTTTCAATTATCATTTTTTTTTTCACCATACAATAATATAAAAGTAAGTAGTCTTTCAGATCAGATAGTAAAAGTACGGCTCTGCCGAACTCTGACAACCTGATTCGGTGCCCAGAGGGGCAGGCACAAAGTATGTGCTCCGCTGTTCCATAATTTTCTAAACAGAGGTAACACACACTGTTTTTCGACAGTCCGAGTCTCTGCATATGATGATTCAAATGACAGTAACCTGTAAGAAGGCCTGTTAGACATCGTAGTCCATCCCTACTGTAGTCCAACAACTGTTTGGTATCAAGCTTCGAAGGGTGAATAAACGCCTTGGAGTGAGACAGTCCTGGAAGATTCAGCCAGTGACATGTTCTGGTCCGATGAAGCTGTTTGCATCACCCTCCTTTGCAAGGAAGTCAGAAGCCTGATTGCCTTCCAGGCCAGTATAGCCAGGAATCCAGATCAAAGACAGTCTGTTGAGCCTTCCTATCGAAAACAGTCGTTTTTGGCAATTTGCTACCAATTTAGACGTTGCTCAGTAGGAGCCAAAAGCTTTCAACGCCGCTTGACTGTCCGCACACAATTCAATAGCGTAAATTTCCGTTTGAAATACAGGCACATGGGTTTGTAAGCAGTTTCATATCTCTGTTCTGGGTGTTTTTAATCCATCTGTGAACCAACAGTTATCTTCTCTCAATATTCCCTTCTTCGTTCGCGTCTTTTTCCAGATTTTAAAGCGGACAGCTATCTCATGCCTGATATATGTGACAAACACGTTCTTTAGACATGTTCATAACCTTCGCCATTGCTCTCACTTCAATTCGGAGGTCGTCAAGCACCATTTGGTGAACTTTGGCGAAGTTTCCGTTGGAAGTGGCAGTTTTCCAAAGTCCCGAACGTACATCGTCTCCCAAGCTTTTACAGTCACATTCAAATTCAGCTTCCCCAAATTTCACTGTAATAAATGATGGTGCAGGGTCCCCATATACAGAATCCACGCATCTTTGATTTGCGTAGGAGTGTTGCCTCTCAAAACCAAATATTTAATGACAGTTCTATACTCGATTATATGCATCTTCATAAAAACACCCACAGTACTGCCATCTTCATGTTGAAGTCGTAAACTTTTCAGACCACTCTCGTATTGTATAGCAGAAAACGTTCAAGTGGAAATCTCACATTGAAGTATGTTTTTTGATCCCTTCACAGAAAGATAATAACATTATTTCATTCACAGAAAGATATCGATCTATAAACGATAGCACAATTTTCATTTGATGGTCTACGAAATTTTTCATACAGTATGTGGCACCGACAACGGTCCTCGATTAAAGACAAAATGTGAAGAACTGGGGCTAACTGCTAACGAAGTTGTCGGTTTCAAAGGTTAGTCAAACCATCAAAGCCGACATTGAAACTTGGTAAGCTAACTTGGGTGTAACACCAATAGGTTGGTCCTCTTGTATCTCACTTGCATCCATGTTATGATTTTCACAAGTAGTCGTCTTGGTTCTTTACATTTTGTCTTTAATCGAGGACCGCCTGCCCGGTACTGTTGCCCAACAGGTTGAAACAGCGCTGTCTACCGGTGGCTCTCAAACTGAAATCAAATTGGGAATGACCGGAAGAGTACTTATCTATTGATTTTTCCATTTTCCAGCAACTGACTACTGCTTCCCATTCTCATGAAGAAATGAAAATATGCCTGACTCAGAAATATATTAAGTCTGTTTCAGACTAAGATCTCAAATATACTATAGCTAGAAAGTATGTATAGTTTTGAAGAGAAGAGAATTGAAACTTTGTTTTTTACCACTTTTATTTGTAACTAACGTTCCTGCATTTCGTCCTATAAATACATTTTCAAACTTATACATTCAACTGCAAGAGATTAATTACGTTAGCCCTTATATAACACCATTGTAAGTGATAATAGAGTTACCTGAGTTTTGTTTACTTGGTACAATGTGAATAAGCTAATTTGAAAACCGTTGAGTAAACTAGATCGATTTGATCCTTCAACAGGTTGCACCTGCAATGTTTATGCTCATGAATTTCCAAAGATTCAAAATAATTGAGTTTGCAACCCTTCATTGTAGGTGTAGTGCAAAATTTCCGTATCATTTAGATTCGGTAACATGTAATTGCATGCCGAAAAATGGTTTGAAAACTTTGAATAATTTTTACCTTGTCTGAAGGACCTTTCATGTTCAGCATATGGTTTTGAGAAATTTCGACTACATTGTCCTACATAAATACTTTCACACTCCGGACACCAAAGCTTATGAACTCCAGATTTCTCTAGCTTGTCTACTTCATCTTTGGCATTGAAAAGGAAATCAAAACACCTGGCATGTGGCCTGAATGCCACAAAATATGTTAGAGTTGCCCATTTCTTGATTTCTGATTGTTTGATCTGGGGGCATATTCATCTATAAGTGAATTTACGATAAAAAACATAGAAAGTTTCAATCTTCTTTTCTTTATAATGATTTCCTACCACGTAGTGCTTTTATTATCAATGAGTCTTTGTTATATTTTGTCTCATCATCCTCAGCTGTTTATACACAAAAATTTTCATATTTATGCAAAAATTGAAAAAAGTTCCTGGTGTACTTACAGTGGAAAAAAGGGAATGTGGAGAGCCAAGCTGAAGAAATTATAACATCTGTTACAGAAGCATTATCATCTAGAATCCTTCTAGAGGGGTTGTAAAAAAGCATATCAAAACCGATGAACATTCCAAAAGTTACCCCAAAATCAGTTGTGAAAGTCGCATTGTTTTGAGATGGGTCTCCAGGTGTCAAATTCGGTTCTTCGTACAAATTGACTTTTCTGTATCTGAAATAAAACTGTATTATCATTTTTCGAGTTATGATTAGTGAACATTTCGAATTATCTCGTCAATTTCATCTCAGTGAAATTATTTCCGAAATAACTCACAACAAATAAAAGTATTCTAAACTAATTGCTGGTGTGATTTTTAAATCCCCGTCTATTGGTTAGAAATATATATACCGGGTGTCCCACATTTTATGTGACAGGCAATATCTGATTTGTTGAAGGAGATACACAAAAATGTTTCATACAAAAGTTTTAGGAGTTCATGAGAGCTAT